GCAGCTGGCAGGGGGGGGGAGGGGCCATGAGCCAATGGGGTGGGGGGGCTGACCTGGGGTGGGACCAGGTGGAGGGAGGGGCTTCAGGAGGTTGGCCAGCTGGCTCTGCCCCCTATTGGGGTAGGGGAGCAATTGGGGGCAGGGCCGGCTGGGGGGAGGGGCTGCAGAGGGTTGGCCGGCCACCCTGCCCTCAATTGAGGTGGGAGAGGCTGATCAGGGGTGGGGCTGGCTGGGGGGAGTGGCCGCAGGAGGTTGGCTGGCCGGCCCTACCCCCAGTCAGGCTGGTTCGCTGGCCACAGTGGGCGTCATAGCGGCCGGTCGTTATGGAGTTCTGGTCGCTGGTTTTTTATATATATAGATGGTGATCTCTGATAAGTGATCATTATTATCATAATTGCTTGGGGGAGCCACAAACCGTGCCCATATAAGACAGCAAACTTAATAAATATCTATGTTCTGACTGCTTCACTGAAGGGCTGTTCCCATCTCTCTCTCTCTCTTCTGGGGCCTTCCTAATCCCTCAGATACAAAAATATTGAAATTAGACCAATTAATAGCCTTACAATGACCTCTAAGTATTCAAGCGAAGAGTCACAAATCTCTCACTTTAAATCAAAAACTAGAAATTATTAAGCTTAGTGAGGAAGGCAGGTCAAAAATGAGATAGGCTGAAAGCTAGGCCTCTTGTGCCAAACAGGTAGCCAAGTTGTTAACGCAAAGGGGAAGTTCTTGAAGGAAATTAAAAGTGCTACCTCAGTGAACATATGGCTGATAAGAAAGTGGAACAGCTTTTATTGCTGATATGGAGAAAGTTTTAGTGGTTTGGATAGAAGATCAAAGGAGCCATAAGTTCCCTTAAGCCAAGTCCTTATCCAGAGGAAGGCCTTGACTCTCTTCAATTCTACGAAGGCTGAAATCAGAGAGGAAATGGCAGAAGGAAAGTTTGAAGCTAGTAGAGGTTGGTTCATGAGGTTTAAGGAAAGTAGGCATCTCCACAAAATAAAGGTTCAAGGTAAAAAAGCAAGTGCTGATGTAGAAGCTGCAGTAAGTTATCCAGAAGGTCTAGCTAAGATAATGAAAGTGGCAACACTGAACAACAGATTTTCAATGTAGACAGAACAGCCTTCTGCTGGAAGAAGATGCCACCTATGACTGTCATAACTAGCGAGGAGAAGCTAATGTCTGGCTTCAAAGTTTCAAAGGGCAGGCTGACTCTCTTGTTAGGCATTAATGCAGCTCCTGACTTTAATTTAAAGCCAACACTCATTTACTATTATGAAACTCTTAGGGCCTTTAAAAATTAAGCTAAATCCACTCTTCCTGCTCTTTATATGTGAAACAACAGTATATCTGTTTACATCATGTTTTACTGAATATTATAAGCTCACTGTTGAGACCTATTGCTCAGAAAAAAAGATTCCTTTCAAAATATAACTGCTCATTGACAATGCACCTGATCACACAAGAGCTCTGAGGGAGATGTACAAAGAAATTAGTGTTGGCCCTGGCCAGGCAACTCAGTTGGTTAGAGCGTCATCGCAATGTGCCAAGGTTGTGGGTTCAATCCACAATCAGGGCACATACAAGATTCAACCAACTATGCATAAATAAGTGGAACAACAAATTAACGTTTCTCTCTCTCTCTCTCTCTCTCTCTCTCTCTCTCTCTCCTCTCTCTCTCTCTCTCTCCTTTCTCCCACTTCCTCTCTCTAAAAAAAATACAAGAGGGAGATACTAATGCTGTTTTTATGCCTGCTAACACGACATCCATTCTTCAGCCCATGGAGGAGTACTTTCGACTTTCAAGTCTTATTTACAAAATACAGTTCCTATAGCTGTCAGAGATAGTGATGGATCTGCCCAAAGTAAATTGAAAACCTTTTGGAGAGGCTTCACCATTCTCAATGCCATTAAGAACATTCACGATTCATGGGAAGAGGTCAAAATATCAACATTAACAGCAGTTGGGAAGAAACTGATTCCAACCCTCACGGATGACTTTGAGGGATTCAAGACTTCAGCAGAGGAAATAACTGCAGATGTGGTGGAAATAGCAAGAGAACTAGAATTAGAAGCGGAGCCTAAAGGCGGGACTGAATTGCTGCAACCTCACGATGAAACCTAAATGGATAAGGAATTGCTTCCTGTGGGTGAGCAAAGAAAGTGGTTTCTTGAGATGGAATCCACTCCTGGTGAAGATGCTATAAAGTCTGTTGAAATGACAACGAAGGATTTAGAATATTACATAAGCTTAGTTGATGAAGCAATGGCAGGGTTTGAGAGCACTGACTCCAATGCTGAAAGTTCTCCTGTGGGTAATATGCTGTCAAACAGCATGGCATGCTACATAGAAATCGTTTGTGAAAGGAGGACACAATCAATGCAGCAAACGTAACCGTTGCTTTCTTTTAAGAAATGCCACAGCCACCCCAGCCTTCAGCAACCGTCACCCTGATCAGTCAGCAGCCCTTGACAGCAAAAAGATCATGACTCACTGAAGGCTCAAATGATGGTTAACATTTTTTAGCAACAGGGTATTCTAAAATTAAGGTATATACATTGTTTTTAAAAATATAATCTTATCGCACACTTAACAGACTACAGTATAGTATAAACATAACTTTTCTATGCACTGGGAAACCAAAAACTTTGTGACTCACTTTACTGCTATATTCTCTTTACTGAAGTGTCTGGAACCAAACCTGCCATATCTCTGAGGTATGCCTGTATCATCTTACTACTAAATAGAGATGATTTTTAGTTTGCAATCGCTAAGAATGCTATTTAAGGTACGCCAGTTGCAGGCTACTTATGGAAAATGTAGGAAGCCAAGTGGAATATGTTTCATTTGGGACAAAATTACTACATCATTGAAAAAAGTCTAAATGGAAGAAATATTAGTCAATATTGTTTGAATTGCTGAAGCAAAAAAATTAAGATTTTCTTTTGGGTAAATCCTTTCATATTTAATTTAGAAGAGTAGCAGTGACTATATACACAAAATTTAAGACATAATTTCTGGGTTCACAGATTAAAACATTTTCTTTCTATACAGTACTGGTACATATTTCAAGTTCAGAAAGGATTCTAAATGGATTGAGTAAAAATTCATTCCACTGTTTATCACTTTCTCCTGTCCTCAGCTTCACAATATAACTTCAAGTGTACAATTTGCTTCTTAAGCTGAAAGGCACATTTGTTTCTCTCCAGCATATCTACATTCTCTTTATGATGTATTGACAATTGATTTTAATTGAACATAAAGCATTTATTCTTCATTCAGTCAATAAATGTCTATCTCTTATTTATTATTTGCAAGGTGCTGTAGTAGAGATTACAAAGGAGAGAGAAATTAACCAGACAAAAGTTTTATTTTCAAGAAGTCTACAGTGTAGTAGAAGACATGGAAAATATATATTGGCTAAATACCTAGTTAAGACACCATTTTTCTATTCTTTTTTTGCCAAATTGTTAAACATGTTAAAAGCAATTTTTTTAAAAAAAAATCTTTCCCACTTCATTCCAACTACTTTCTAATATATGCCATAAATCACATCATAGAATTTTCAAGTTATCTACACATCTGGCTTAGAAAAGATGGTATTGGAATTGAAAACAATCACAATTTTATGTTAAAAACTTCTAGAGAGAAAGGGAGAGAATGTAACATTTGAACACAAGCCCTTATTAGTCACTGACCTGGAATTTCAGTAATAGAGACTTGAGAAAAGTCACAAGTGACGTCAGGTAAAAGAAAACGCTGAGGATCACCAATCTCATACACTAGCTGCTCAGCCACTGTACCAAAGGAGACCAATCCCCCGGTGCCAGGAGGCTTGGAGAGGATGAACTGTCCATCAGGAAAACATTCCAGTACGGGAAATCCTATATTGTGCCTGGGTGAAAATCAGGGGACACTGTGGTTCACAACAGCCAGGAAGAAAACCTCAGGAAAAGATATTACCTTATACCAAACAATACTTTTGATGAGTAACAATAACCCAAAGCTGTGCATTTTACATATTATATATTACCTTTTAAAATGACGGCTTATTCATGTGTGATAAGTACTGAATATGGGTGATGTCTGGGAGCCAAACAGAAAGAAATCACATTGAGAGGAATGGAAGAATATTCAGTATAAAAATTCAGAGAACTGTTTTCAGAAGGTTTGGAAATGGTCTCTAGCTCCTCTTGATGGGAAGTGATGAGAACCCCTATGAGACTGCAGGAGCTGTGACATCTAGAGGGCTGCACATCATTAGATTTCTGCCCCATCAAATTTCTCTGGTCCCTAATAAGTCTCAGAGTGAGCACGGCTTACTCCATTAGTGATCAGCTGGGTTCTCCCTCCCTCCCTTAATTATAAAGCCAAAATGGTGAAATCTGGGCCTTGGTTCTCAAAGAACCATCCTATATAATAAAAGGGTTATATGCAAATTGACCCTAAAGGCGGAACGACCAGTCACTATGATGTGCACTCACCACCAGGGGGCAGAGGCTCAACACAGAAGCTGCCCCCTGGTGGTCAGTGTGCTTCCACAGGGAGCCAGAAGCTGGCTCATGGCTGGCCAGCACAGCGGTGGTGGCGGGAGCCTCTCCTGCCTCCGTGGCAGCGCTAAGGATGTCTGACTAATGGCTTAGGACATCCCCCAAGGGCTCCTGGGCTGCCAGAGGGATGTCTGACTGACTTAGGCCTGATCCTCCAGGGAGCAGGCCGAAGCCTTCAGTCAGACATCCCCTGAGGGGTCCCAGAGTGCGAGAGGGCGCAGGCCGGGGTGAGGGACCCCCTTCCCCACCCTGAGTGCATTAATTTTCATGCACCGGGCCTCTAGTTTATTTATAAAGTTGATCTTCTGTTAACTAAGAAGCATAAAGATAAACAAAAAGGGGGATTAAGGGTAATTTAGAGAATGTACAGTTATAGCTTATGACCCTAGTTTGCTTCTGAAATGGTCATTTAGTAATGTTAAAAATTAAACATGACCTTTAAAAAAAATTCCTCACTGATTTTTAGAGGGGGAGGGGGAAGGGGAGGAGGAGGGGGAGGGGGAAGAAATAGTGCAAAACGATAAAATAAAAATGAACACTTTATTAAAAACTTGATTAAAAACTTACTACATATCACTCATAATAAGGCAATGACAATGGATATTACCAGCACCCTAATTCTGCAGATGGATGAATTGAAGCACATAAAGGCTGAGTAACTTGTCCCATCTCATGGAGTAGGAAGTAGTAGAACCAGGACTCCAAGCAATGTCTCTAGAGATTATGCTCCTTGATTGTTATTCTGGGCTAAGAGATGCAGCTGATAATTGTAGGAATGCAAAGATCCATGCCCTTAAAGAGTTTACAACCTAGTAGAACAGATAAGGCCAATATGATGAAATCTAGGATCTCAGGTTTCCGACAGGTCAATAATCTGTTTCACAGTTGAAAAGCTGTTGCACTGGAAGCAAGAGGCATGGAACCAATTAGAAGACTACTAGAGGCCCAGTGCACAGGGTGGGGGGCGGGGGGGCTCCCTCAGCCTGGCCTGTGCCCTCTCTCAGTCTGGGACCCCTCAGGGGATGTCTGCCTGCCGGCAGGCAAGCAGCAAGCCCCGCTTGTGGCTGAGTGGCACTCCCCCTGTGGGAGCACACTGACCACCAGGGTGCATCTCCCACATTGAGCGTCTGCCCACTGGTGGTCAGTGCATGTCATAGTGATCAGTTGTTCTGCCGTTCGGTCTATTTGCATATTACCCTTTTATTATATAGGATAAGATAGTCTTCAGAATCTAGATAAGAAACCTACAAATGCGGATAAATATGAAAGGAAGTGAAAGATACTATGGATTGAAAATTGACCTTATTGAAAATTGATGAGATAAAGGGAGTCTATGGAAGAGAAAAAAAAGATCACCAAAGACTAGGTCAGTGGGAGACTGACCATATCACTCTCAAAATGTACAAGTCTTGCCTGGCTGGTGTGTCTCAGTGGTGGAATGTCAAACTATGAACCAGGAGGTCACAGTTCAATTCCCAGTCTGGGCACATTCCTGGGTTGCAGGCTTGATTTCACAATGGGGATGTGCAGGAGGTGGCCAATCAATGATTCTCTCCCATCATTGATGTTTCTAGCTCTCTCTTCCTCTCCCCTCCTCTCTGAAATCAATAAAAATATATTTTTTAAAAAATAGAAGTCTTCAATACAGGCTGATGAGTTTAAGGTAAGAATAAAATTATAAACAAAAGCAAATCTATTCATATATTCCTAGTAGAGTTGTGTGCAGGGTAGGAGATATAAATCTGGAAGTCATCTGCTCCCATGCCAGTGTCAACACTGCAAAAGCAGATGAGTATTCTGAGGGAGAGAATCCAGACCTGTAAGAGCAAAGGGCTGAGGACACATTTCCCATTGGTTTCATAAGTCTCATGTTTTATTGCTTCCTATTAATCTGATACCATATGAAGCCTAGAAAGAGGAGAAGGAAGAATTAGAAGAGTGAGCAGCACCTGCCTGGCTCTAGACAAAGTTAAGAGGAAGAGTGGGCAACAAGACTTGAAAGAGATTGCCACTGACTAGACTGACAGGGGTCTGCAAAGTAATCTATAGATTTTTAATTTACACTAGAGGCAAAGGCCTAGGCACTGTAAGCTTCTTATTAGTAAGTTGGCTCATGTTGTAGGAGCTTCTTAGAGCTGAGATCAAGAGACTTCTAACAACACAGCCCTAGATGGAATAGGATGATAGAAAAAGTAATTTACCAGCATGTTCTGAAATTTCAAGGTTCCAGTATATTTAGTGTATTTAATCCTAAGAAGCGAGACTCTATTTCTATTTTAGGTACTGTATTCGTTTCCTAGGGCCAACAAGCAGGGTGAAGCTCTCTTGACGGCTCTAGGGGAGAATCCTTCCTTGTCCTTTTCCTAGCTTCAGGCGTTCCTTGGTTTGTGGATGCATCACCCAATTCTTTCTTCACAGGATCTTTACATTGTTTTCCCTCTGTATGTGTCTTCCACTAGCTCCAAATTTCTTTTTATAAGAACAAAAGTCCTTTTGGATTAGGGCCCACCCCACTGATCTCATTTTGACTTGATTACCACTGTAAAGACCCTATTTCCAAATGAGGGCACATACTAAGGTACTGGGGGCTAGAACTGGAACATATCTTTGGGGAGTATAATTCAACCCCAAATAGGTACATAGCTCAGCCTAATAATAAACTAGAGGCCATAATAAAATATCATATGTTATTTTAGGGAAGTATGATTATTAACATGCCAAAAAGAATTCTCCTGAAACTTAGCTCTGTATCCTAATAAGGTAATGATGGCTAGGGTATAAAGTTTGTCTGTGTTTCACAATACCAGTAAAATGTAATATACAATACAAATAAAAACAATTCAAGTTTTAAAATAGCAATAATTATAATTTCATAAACAGAAAATCCTATATAATAAAAGACTAATATGTAAATTGACTGAACGGAGGAACAGCCAGTTGCTATGATGCACACTGACCACCAGGGGGCAGACGCTCAGTGCAGGAGCTGCCCCCTGGTGGTCAGTGTGCTCCCACAAGGGGAGCACAGCTCAGTCAGAAGCCAGGCTCACGGCTGGTGAGCGCAGCAGCGGTGGCGGGAGCCACTAAGGACCCCTTGGGGGATGTCCACTGAAGGGTCCTGGACTGCGAGAGGGTGCAGGCCAGGCTGAGGGACCCCCCTCCCTCCAGTGCACGAATGTCGTGCACTGGGCCTCTAGTAAAATTTATAAATGTAGATGTTATGTGCCATGCTATAACATATGTATATACAAAATAGAGCTCCCTACCAGTCTGGTACCAAATGCCAATCTGTGAATATTCCACCAGTACTCTGAGCACCACATTCAATGAGATGGCCTGCAAGGCTACAAAGCAAACAAAAAATAGCATTAATATGGTGAGCAAAATTTTCAATGCCTTCTCAGATACAAAATAATGCTATAAATAAAATTTTATATTTGAAGGTATTGTCATAAAAGTGAGAAAAACCTTGGCCATTTTGCTTTTGTTTGTTTTAATAAAGTAGGGTAATGATGCAGAAAGGCTAGTTTGGAATAACAGAAAATGGCCTGGTCTGAGAATCACGAGAACCTAGGCCAAGTGACAGACTGATCAAAATGGGACTAATGCATTACTGATAAGGTTGTGAGAATTAACTGAAATAAAACCACGTGAAAGCATCATGAAAACTGCAAAGTGCTTCAACATGTAAGTTATTACCAGGCTTGAAGTGTGACATTAAATTGTCATTATATTATAGAATAGGGGAGAAAATATGTAAAATATTACCAATCTATTTGATATGTTAATGGACAAAAACTTATCAATATATCTACTATTAAAATTTCCTCTTCAAAAATCTGAAATATCTGAAGCTCTTTATAGAGTTGACAACATGGGAAAATAAAACACTCTGGATTTTAGTTATTTGGCCTGTGTGAACCCAGGCTCCACCACATAAATAGCTCTGTGACTTTGGGCAACTTACATAACCCTAATGTGTGTCAATTCCCTCATCTCTCAAATGGGAATAACAACATCTACCTAATAAGTAAATTGTGAGAATAAAAAATAATTTTGTGAAGTGCCTATTAAATCATATAGTAGGTAGGCACTCAATAATAAACGATGGTTACTTAAAATTTATTCAATCAATGGTTACTTTGTTTCATAAAATTTCTTCAATCTTTGTAAGAGACATCTTTATTCAGCTTTAAAACTCTGTAGTATTAAAGAAATACAATTATGTTCAGTTTAAAATGTATTTAAGGTGACCTACCAGACACACATATCTTAATTTCTGAAAAGCTTAAGTAAATTTTACTGTAATGTAGTTAAAAGAGGAAAATCACTACTAATATTATTAAACTTACCTTCCAGCGGCTAATAAGTCAAAGTCATTGCTTTTCCAACCAAACTATGAGGGGAAAAAAGACACCCACAAAAATTAATTATTTTATTTATAATTCACCTTTTCGATATAGAATCTTTACATAGTATGTGTTTAATCAACTCCCTACTTGATCTAAAGTATAATTCAAGATTACTGCATAGATTCAAATACAAAATTATATGGAGAAACTAACAAAAACCTCTCAGAAAAACAAGAAGTAGAATTTTGCTCTGGATAAGATGCAATAACCTGGATCTAATTTAAACTAATGCCTGGAACCACAAAAAAGCCAAGTAACATATATGAAACCACAGTGTTTAATACATTGGACATCAGGCAACAGAAACTAGTGACCCCTAACTAAGCAAGTTGAAACAAATGAGATGGGCCTGTGATTGAGTTTCCAAGCCCCGTGCTGGGAGGCGGAATTGAAATGGAAGCTGGCAGGTTCCCTGAGTTAAGAAGCTGAGAGTCGAGGGAGACCATGATGACTAGAGTTTGCAGGATAGATTACCACAAAGAGAGAACAGTACAGATAGAGAACTTTAGAGATCTTAACAAGACTCCTTGTTAAGTAGGCAGCCAAGAACTAGAGATAATGATAAATATTGGAAGCCTCTTGAGCAGGGTGCAGGCCAGGCTGAGGGACCCCCCTCCCTCATTTTGAAAAACCCTAACTTAACTCTGGTGCCGTGTCACATATAGAAATTTTTTGATATTTGCAGCCATAGTAAAACAAAGACTTATATTTTTGATATTTATTTATATATTTAAATGCCATTTAACAAAGAAAAATCAACCAAAAAAATGAGTTCGCGTGTCACCTCTGACACGCGTGTCACCTCTGACACGCGTGTCATAGGTTTGCCATCACTGCTCTTGAGTATACATAGGATACAATTTGCTCCAAGTAGTAGCAAAACCAACATTACAAAGAACAGTACTTCCTGAGGGGGAGGAAGAAAAGAGAGGAAGAGCTAGGCCCTAAAGAGATGAACAGATTGGAAAAGGGAGGGAAGGAAGAGTCCACTGGAGGAATAGCTGGGCCCAAAGGTACATGGATTTGAGGACCAATATGAAGGCTTTAGAAGCAGCCTCCCCCGGGAGAGTGCAGACTTAAAACTAGAGAACACAATTTCAAAAAAGCGAAGTTAGACACTGGGTTGGGTCTGAATGGATAAACAGGGAGATCCAAGAAGCCTAAGAGATGGCTCATTCTATCTATATAACACAATTATAATTTTCTCTCCATATGTAGAGAAAGAGCCTCCAGTGCCCTTGAGAGGCTAGATTTGACTTAATATTTTACAACAAAGAACCTCAAGTCCCTAAGGGATTAAATGGAGGCACACCAAGAACTAGGAATTTGACCAGGAAGGGGTTAATACATCTATTTTTAGAAAAATATTACTATTAAAAAATTAGCATAAGCAAAGTAGTCCCCAAACATATAGAAGTGTTCTCTCAAACTCTTAATATTCTAAAGGATCCCAAGGTATTGAATAAAAAGCTGCAGGAGTTATTACACCAACCACACACACACATATATAAACCAGTTTCACATGTTCATTTCTGAATAACTTAGTTAACAACAATAAAATATTCTACTCTACCATATTTTAATGAACATCATTATATAAAATCAAATTTGAAATTCACTGTATGCCTTTTGGTACATTAGACCTCTAATAGGAAAGCAATTTATTAACTTTTGGATTGTTTTTAATATTATGAACTTAACAAATTGGCACCTGAACACACATTGTAATGGCCAAAGAAAATTACATGTGTGTTAGTAAGCAAAACAAAGATGATAAGCTCAAGGTGCCAAGTGTGTTCTCCCCATCAACTTACCTCGTGAATGAGGGGTCCCAGCACGAGAGCACTGTCCACGCAGCGCCCCGTCAGAACGATGTCGGCACCGAGGTCCAGGGCCCTGCTTATGGGTCTTGCTCTTTGGGAAACAGATCATCCCTGTTATTGTTTTTCACCCAGGTCAGATCAAAGCTTTTGATTAAACAACAACAAAAAACACAACTGCTTATCATTTTGTCCAATGACTCAAATATACTTAAAGTAATTCCAGGCATTAAATGATGTGGACAAAAACACTCTCCTAGATACTTCCATTCATATTATTATTTTTAAATCAGTATTTCCTGTGTAGCTGTTTATCAAGTGTTCTGTCAACATTCACCCCTTATACAATGCCGGTTTGTCTGGGCATACATTTCTAGAATGTCAGTTATTTTACTTCATGGAGACTATTTCACAATCTCCTGGTATCCAATTTTGTTGTTGAGAGGTGTGTTATCAGTCTAAGTATTGATGCTTGTGTACTGCCTTTCTCTTTGGATGCTCTTACAATCTTACTTTTCGGTTTTAGACAGTTGCATGGTATTATATCTTTTTGTTTAATCTGCTTGGGTTGACTCTCCTTCTTGGACCTGTGGATAAATATGTCTCATCAACCCTGAATAATTCCCAGCCATTGTCTCTGGACATTGCTTTCCCCCATCCTACATAATAAAAGGCTAATATGCAAATCGACCAAACAGCTGAATGACTGGTTGCTATGACATGCACTGACCACCAGGGGGCAGACGTTCAAGCAGGGGCCGCCCCCGGGTGGTCAGTGTACTCCCACAGGGGGAGCACTGCTCAGCCAGAAGCCCTGAGTCAGGTTCACGGCTGGTGGGAGTCCCTCCCACCTCCATGGCAGCGCTAAGGATGTCCTACTACTGCTTAGGCCTGCTCTCTCTGGAGAGTGTGCCTAAGCCAGCAATAGGACATCTCCTGAGGGCTCCTGGACTGCGAGAGGGCGCAGGCCGGACTGAGAGACCCCCCTACCCAAGTGCATGAATTTCATGCACCAGACCTCTAGTTCTTTATATTCTCTTCTCTCACTCTTAGATAGGACGTTAGACCTTACAATTCTATCCACGTATCTCAAACTTCTATTTCATTTTCTATCTCTTTAACCTGGGCTGATCTCAGTAAATTTTATCAGATCTATTTTTCCAATTCATTAATCTTCTATTAATTGTATCTAATCTGCTGTTTAATTTACCCATTAAAATTTTATTTCAATGACTATATGTTTGATTAATAAAGTTCATTTGGTTTCTATTCAAATCCATCTAGGCCTTCTTTGAAAGCTTTTTCCCTGCTCTGGTTTTTATTCCATCTTCACTTCTTTAAACATCTTTAACATGCTTATAGCATTCTGCATCAAAACATTCCAATTACAAGTGTTATATGTCTCCCAAATAAAAATTCAATATATATATATAAAAAAAAATATTCCAATTTATGAATTCCATGGGCATTTACATTTTTTTGGAATTTCAGACTGTGAACTCCTATTAAGTTTGGTGAGGCTTTATTTGTGGAGCAGCCTCTTTTGAGGGAACATCTGGATTTGCATTTGCTTCTGCCAGATGTGCTGGTGATATTAGCAGCCATAAACTTTTTAACACCCAAGGCTTAAAGTTAAATTCCTCTTTCTGTCCTGCTATTGGTTTAGATAGGTCAAGGGGACACTGTAGCAGCGGCAGTTGTCAAAGAATGTCTGCCTCCTTTACTCAGGCCTATTGTCTGGCCTGGGAGCTGCAAATTATGGTGGTTCTTGAGAAAGTCCTGTGGATATTCCTAAGAGTTTCTGCTGCTACCTGGCACACTGGGAAAAAGGCTTTTGAAATGGCCAACCCTTTGGAGCCACAAGTGTCCATCTATATTCGAAAGGATGGAAGGGAGGGCGGGAGGAATAAGGGACATAAGAGAAAAGACCTTACCCAAGGTACACATTCATGCTTTCAATGGTGTCTGGAAATTTCTTCCCACTCTCCATATCTGTGATAGTGGATCCTTGCAGAGCCTCCTTCTATAAATATTTTACAAAAATACTTTAAACCTTTATTCACAGAGAGCTTACTTGTATTATACAAAAGTAGAGTTACAGTTGTTCATATGAAAAATAATACAATAATTAATAAATAATAGAAGAATAAATTGTGTTTTGTGCACTCACAACTGTAAACCTACTTTTGCCCCATCCTGTATATGCTAAACAATAAGAACATGTAATAGATAAGTAGACTCCTATACATTTCATTATTGGGATGAAGAAAGTAATATATTAAAAAAGTTATTCTGTATATTCTATTTCAGGCATTTTTCATACAGTGTTTCATTTTGTTTTCCAAACAACCCTGACAGGCAGGTGTCACAACCCCTATTTTGTAGACAAAGAACCCAATCAAGAAAGGCTGAGTGAAGCCTGTTGGTGAAGCGTGTGGGCTCTGGCCCCTAGCAAACCACCAGCTTCCCTGTGCTTCTCTGAGTTTCTTCATCTTTAAAGCATGGCACTGATAGTATCAATCCCACAGGATTGGTGTAAATACATATATAATCTTTTCTAGTTCTTACAAAGTGATATGCAGAATTTGAAAGGTCCTATAGCAATTTCTCTCCAGTAAAGAATCATGCTTCCTATCAAGCCAATGTTCAGAATGAAAGTTATCAATGCATGTTCCCCTTAATCATGAAATGATGTATTCAGGGACTCCTAATGCCGACATGTTTTCCCAGGCTAAGCACCAAAGCACGGGAGAGAGCATGGTATAGGGTGGTCTCTACAACCTCCCCCCTCAAAAGAAGGGCTCAGGCTAAAACAGGACAAAGCACCTGAAAATTGTGTGAAGCACCACAGCATCAGCTACACCTACATAGAGATGGTCACTCATAAAAAGAACATGTCATCACCTCCCAGAGGCTCTAAAAGTGGATGACACGTTCTGTTCTCCTGAAGTCCGTCATAGCACGAAGTGACACCAAAGCCAAAGCAACATCACCACCAAAGATTAAAGCTGGGACTGCTCCACCCTTAAGTCCCCAACAGGGATTTGGTGTTTTATATCTATTACAAAACATAGCTATAGCCCTGGTCGGTTTGGCTCAGTGGATGGAACGTTGGCCTGTGGACTGAGGGTCCCAGGTTGAATTCCGGTCAAGGGCATGTACCTTGGTTGCGGGCACATACCCAGTAGCGGGTGTGCAGGAGGCAGCTGGTCCATGTTTCTCTCTCATCGATGTTTCTAACTCTCTATCCCGCTCCCTTCCTCTCTGTAAAAAAATCAATAAAATATATTTTAAAAAATATAGCTATCCTATATAATAAAAGGGTAATATGCAAATTGGCCCTAACAGCAGAACAACTGGGAATGACTGGTCACAATGACACACACTGACCACCAGGGGGCAGATGCTCAATGCAGGAGCTGACCCCTGGTGGTCAGTTCACTCCCACAGGGGGAGCTCTGCTCAGCCACAGGCCAGGCTGATGGCTGCTAGCACAGCGGTGGTGTCAGGAGCCTCTCCCGCCTCCTCAGCAGCGCTAAGGATGTCTGACTGCAGCTTAGGTCTGCTCCCCGCTGGCAAGTGGACATCCCCCGAGGGCTGCCGGGCTGCCAGAGGGATGTCTGATTGCCAGCTTAGGCCCAATCCCCCGGGAAGCTGGCCTAAGCCAGCAGGTAGACATCCCCCAAGGGGTCCCAGACTGCGAGAGGGCACAGGTCGGGCTGAGGGACCCCTCCCACCCGAGTGCACAAATTTTTGTGCACTGGGCCTTTAGTAATATATAACATAACATATGCATACATGTGAAAGTGTGTGACTTATTATGATAAGTACATATTTTCGTTGTGTTCAGTTACTATTTCAACAGGAGTAGGCAGGGTTTTGGCTATGAAAGGTCAAACTCTGATATTCCTAGGCAGGGACCTGTTTCACAGTATTACTGTTTCCATATTAGTTCTCTACAAACAAATGAAAATCTGTCCAGGGTTAGATTCCTTTCCATAAAGGGAAAATGGCGACAGTTTAATTCTCTTGGATAAGATTTTAAGAATTTGTCATTACATTGGGATCATTAAAGCAGAAGTCTGACACATGCTAACGTAACATCATATTTAAAGTAAATCAGTGGCCCTCGCTGGTTTGGCTCAGTGTATAGAGCAGTGATGGCGAACCTTTTGAGCTCGGCGTGTCAGCATTTTGAAAAACCCTAACTTAACTCTGGTGCCGTGTCACATATAGAAATTTTTTGATATTTGCAACCATAGTAAAACAAAGACTTATATTTTTGATATTTATTTTATATATTTAAATGCCATTTAACAAAGAAAAATCAACCAAAAAAAATGAGTTCGTGTGTCACCTCTGACACGTGTGCCATAGGTTCGCCATCACTGATATAGAGCGTCAGTCTGTGGACCAAGGGGTCCCAGGTTCGATTCCAGTCAAGGGCACATGCCTGGGTTGTGGGTTCGATCCTCAGTAGGGGACATGTAGGAGGCAGCCAATCAATGATTCTCTCTTATCATTGATGTTTCTACTAGTATCTCTCCTCTCTCCCTTCCTCTCTGAAATCAATAAAACAAAAAATAAAGTAAATCAGTGGACAGTTATGGCAGCAAATTCACTCACAGTAGTTAGAAGGAGGATTCAGATGAATTTAAAATATACTATTTACACAGAAATAGGACAGCTCTGCAAGGTCACAGCAGTTTTCACAAATCAGGAATCTAAACCTGCACAGAGAGGACATTTAGCAGGCCTATATGAGCAAGCCAAAGGCTCTACCAAGATAAAGCTAATTAGCAGATCTGTTCTGTTTACTCTCAAACAAATGAGTCCATTGATTTTTGTGTGTTCCTGACAGCTAGCACAAGTATCCAAGAGCCCACAGAAATTGCTTGCATTTCACAAGTGGGATTTTACAGCCTTTGAATTTCACAGGGAGCTGAGCTCAGCCTAAGAAAACAGCACCAAGGAAAAGCTTGAAACATCTAGCTTTTCAAATTGAAGTGTTAATAAAAAACTGTATAATTTCCTTTCCTTTCCTGTTGTGACACAGAATGTTTCACCTGCAGCAAAATCCATCAGCTGGAACCCAAATAATGTTAAGATTAGAAAGGTAAGTAATCACTTGTGTTAAAAAAAACTTCATGTTTGTAAGAAGCACAATTTCAACTTACACTTCCATGTTCAAAGGAGGGTCCAAAGTTATTCTAAACATTGTCTTCAGTGAGTCAATAAATCTTTCATAGCAGGCACATAAGTGGTTTATAAACATTAATGGATAATCTAGACCAGAATTTCTAGACTAAAGTGACACAGATTAGAGAGAGATTTCTAGAGCTCAGCCTGAAGAGCTATACCCAAATCCAATAATTAGATCAAGGTAAACGATCCTAATTGTTCATCACATGATAGATGGCTTCTTGTTAGGAGTGTATCACATAAATGTCAATAACCTCTCCCAGGATGTCATCTCCAGTGACCACTGCTATTTTCAAATCAACACCAGCCTTCCTGGCCATCTTGTCCAGGGCAGCAGCACACATGAGAGGGTTGGTACCCCCAGCATTGCTGACCACACGCACGCCTGCCAGAAGAGAAACACATGGCAATCACTCCGATGCAAGTTCAATTAGCAGTTTTCATTCAAAGAACTGCTTTCTCTGCCCAATGTTTTGTTTGTTTTTACGTTTTAGAGGCAAATATACCAAAGGCAATGGCATCCCTATATAATGTTTAAGTGGCTGAAGCCACTTCCGGTGTTTACGCTCATCAGATGCATGGCTGGTAACTGATGTGAAGGGAGATGTAACTCTTGGGTCCTCATAAAAATATCTGTGGGCTATTAAAGAAATAACTAGTTCTGATTTTTAAAATTCTCCATATTTTCTAAGTAATCCTCTAGAGCAGAGGTTCTCAACCTATGGGTCGCGACCCCTTTGGCGGTCGAACGACCCTTTCATAGGGGTCGCCTAAGACCATCCTGCATATCAGATATTTACATTACGATTCATAACAGTAGCAACATTACAGTTATGAAGTAGCAACGAAAATAATTTTATGTTTGGGTCACAATATGAGGAACTGTATTTAAAGGGCCAGAAGGTTGAGAACCACTGCTCTAGAGGCAATTGATCCACTCAATTCCATTATGAAAACTCTAATCTTTAATTTGATGTCTGACAGCTATTTGGAATACTACAAAGTGGCTAAAGAGAGAGAGTCAACATTCCAGAATTCTAAGGTAGAGAGGACTTGAGTGGTCACCTACTCCAGGTGTTCTCATCTTTTAAAGATTCATTATCCTTTGAGGATTCTCATAAAAACTATGGATTCTCTCCTTAAGGGAAAAAGCTTCTTTTGCTTATAATTTCAGGGGCATGTCAGATTCCCTGACGCCTAGCCTTGGATACCAGATTAAGAAACATTGACCAAATCCAACTATCTCGTTTACAGATGAAGAAGCCAAGGTGCAGGGAAGCTAAGTGACGCGTCCAAGGTTGTGCAGCTTGTTAGGGACAGAGGCAGGATGAAAACCCTGGGTGTCCCACTCCCCATCTGTCATCTGTGGTGTCAGATTCTATATGGACTGTGTGGGTGGTTAATGGCCAAATGGTCATCACACAAAATCTGCAAAGGGCTCTGAATGTTTTGCTGAACCACTCCTATTAACTGGCCAAAGAGTGATTATTAAGTATAAACTATTAGAATTTATACCCTTTCTAACTAAATACGATTTTTTTTATCTGTTTTCACTCTCTTCAACCTATTCAGGTACATTTGAATCTACCTCCATCCTCCTCCCCACCTCCCTCCACCCCACTAACACTTTCCTAAAACTCCCTCCTTTTTGAGTTCTGGTGACTGCACTATCAGGTTCTTCCCTGTCTCTTCCACAGTTCACCGCTTCCTTACCCCGCCCCCCCCACATTTTATATCTCGTTCTTTGACTCCACCATCCCTTCTCTTTCAAGGGTTCCCTAAAGCTCAACCCTACTTTTCTTTATATCCATTCCCACCTCTCCCTCCTTAAGAAATCCTTCCCAATAATGGATTCAACTAGTACTTTTATTGATTAAAACTCCCTCCCTCAAACCTATTTCTATTTCCACCCTCTCATCCAAGTGGTAGTATCTTCAACCTTGTTTGTACTGTGATGTCTAACTCTATATTTAGCGTATAGCAAGAGCAGAAGTAGAGGCCCTTGTGTGTTAACTGACATTCTATGATTCTAAAATGAAAGATAATATACAAATAACAAATTTACTACAAATACTTAAGGTCCATAAAAAGTTTTGGTTAAGTCTGACACCTTGCTTTCTTTGTGCCTTACTTTCAGGATAACTTATTTTTTCAAAAAGGACATATAGCTCCCTCTAGAGGAAAATAATGATATTTTAGAAAACAGAACCTCCTAACATATATTCTGAGATTCACCAACAATAAAACTAAATGGTACACAATAACCACATCAGACTAGCAATTATTAAAAACTCTTCATCTTGCCCTAGCTGGTTTGGCTTAGTGGATAGAGCGTCAGATTACAGTCCAAAGGGTCTCAGGTTCGATTCCAGTCAAGGCACATGCAGGAGGCAACCAATCAATGTGTTTCTCTCACATTGATATTTCTCTATCTTTTCCTCTCTCTTCCACTCTCTCTAAAAATCAGTGGAAAAATATCCTTCAGTGAGGATTCAAAAAAAACACACAACAACTCTTCATCTTAAAGATCTTAAACAACAACATATTGTAAGGGATTTATCCTTCTTAAGCAGAGATACATTTGCAGTACTTAAGAGATACTCAGTAATGTCACTGGAAGTTACCCCAGGACCCAACTGCAAAAGACTTTCTTTGTTAGCCCAATAAATCACAGCACTATGGCAATGAGGTCAGAGTCTCGGATTTGGTTCAAGTATAGTCAGCGGCTTTTATAGATCCCAAGACATCTTCCTAAGATTTGCTCTGAGCCACAGAGACCCAGGGTGAGAGAGTGCGAATCAGTATAATTATAACTCTCCAACTGGAAATCAACCCAAATATGTTGGTGTGTTAACACTGGCTATATTTTTAAACATTCTCTCACCTTATAACAACTGCCTTCTTTCTTCAGAACCACATCAAAGTGGCTCATAAGGCCTTTTTAAATGTTCATTGAGTTAATTATTTATTTTTAATGACTACATCGTATATGTAAATATATATTTATCTATATAAATATAGCTGTATTTCATAAATACATATAAATATCCAATCTAATAAAAGACAAAAGGGTAATTAACCGTACCTCCGCTACACTTCCCATTGGCTAATCAGCAAGATATGCAAATTAACTGCCAACCAAGATGGTGGCCGGCAGCCACGCAGCTGAAGCGAACAGGAGGCTTGCTTGCTCCAGTGAAGGAGGAAGCCAAGTTCCCCGCCTGCCGCGGCCCAGCTCTGAGCTCTGAAAGCATTAGTTCCAAAAGCAACAAAGTTTCAATTACAGAAGCTAAACAAACTCCAGATACCTGCTTTCAGCCAGCTGCGGCCTCAGAGCTGGAGCGAGCAGGACGGCAACAAAGTTTCAATTATAGAAGGTAAATAAATCCCAAAAGAAAAAAAAAGAAAGAAAAAAAGGAGAGGCTGGGAGCTTCAGTTGCCGGCCAGCCTGAAAATGGCCCTCAGCCCCTTACCCAGACTGGCCAGGCACCCCAGTGGGGACCCCCACCTTGAAGGGGGTGTGGCCAGCTGCAAACAGCCATCATCCCCTCATCCAGGCTGGCTAGGCACCCAAGCGGGACCCCCACCCTGATCCGGGACACCATTCAGGGCAAACCAGCCGGCCCCCACCCAAGCACCAGGCCTCTATCCTATATAGTAAAAGGGTAATATGCAAACTGACCCTAACAGCAGAAAGACTGGGAATGACTGGTCACTATGACACACACTGACCACCAGGGGGCAGATGCTCAATGCAGGAGCTGCCCTCTGGTGGTCAGTGCACTC